GAATAAGGAAGAAAAAAATCAGAAAGAGACAGAAAGAGAGGGATAACGAGCGAGAAACAGAGAGAAGTGAAGAGGAAAGCAGAGGCTTTGAGGAATAGCTTGCTAGATCACAATTCTTCGGTGGAGTTAGGTTATGGTTTATGCTATTCCGTAGTAAACTCTAAATAGCGATTGATATGTATTGGGTAATTTTTTAAAGTCTTCTATATGCTTAATTGTGTGCTTGGTGTTGTGGCCAATGGTTATGGTACTTGTTGTTGTCACCTGTTAAGAATTTTGTTGGTTTTATGTTATTATCCAATATATATTGCTTTCTATTTTGAGTTGGCCGATGATACCTACTCAGTACCTTGTGCCTTGTACTGACCCCTACTTGTAATTTTCTTCTTTGTTATTTGTTGGAGTGCAGCAAACATGCCATCGTCTTCAACTCGTCCTCAACTCTAGCCAGTCTTCATCACGTCAGATTTCAGGGTGAGCTATTGTTCCTAGCTCAGACTGGATTCTCTCTCATTCATGTCTTGATGTCCTTGAAGTTCGTACATGGACCATCTGTTTACTTATTTTAGCTTCCTAGATACTCTTAGATTAGTAATTTGAGGATAGAATGTTCTTGTGGTGATGACTTCCAGATTTTGGGAATAATAAGTATTGAGTTTTAGAAGTTATTTAATCGATGTTTATTAATTAGTTTTAAGTCTTCTGCATTATATTCTGTTTCTTATGGTTGAAATGTTGGGGTTTAGATTAGTTGGTTCACTCACATAGTAGGATAAGTGTGGGTGCCACTCGCGGCTCGTTTTGGACCGTGACATAATTTTGTATCGTTGATTAACTAATTGTTTAGTTTAAAACTATAAAGGATGATCTAAATCATGTATTTTTGGTATATACTTTAATTTATGAAATTGATTACTTTATTTTTTAAGTATAACTGACTGAACAACACACATTAATAGAATAACTCTGATCATTCGACTGTTTCACCAAATCATATGAAATTTGCAACTGTTGATGATGTTGCTGGAACTGCATAGGAGGTTGGAAAACAAAAGGGGTCTATTGAAGATGTAATGAAGGTAATTAAATATCTGATACTTAATAATTTGATTAATACTTTATTATTCTGTAAAATTTTTAATAGTGTCTCTTTTCAGATGGTTGATACCTTATTCCATCAATTTATCTTTGAAAAACGTATGTCATCGGCAATTGCCTAATTTTTTATAGTAAAAATATATATATATATATGATATTTTTAATAATCAATTTTGATATATAAATTAATCTATTAAACTGATTAATGTATTTTAAGTATCGCACACTCCATAATATATATTAAAAGACTAACAGATACTTTATCTTTTCAAATATTATTATTTATTTTGGATCATGGTGCTGACATAATAAAAATAGTTGAAAAAATTATTATGTTTTAAGTTGCATAAGTTATGAAATTATAGTGTGTTTGTTAATTATTTGATTTCACACAGGATTCTACCTCATCGGTCTCTTTCGCACTTGAAAATGAAGCAGTGACAGATGCATTTGCACATGGATCATTAAGCCGGGAAATTAATGCCAACCCATTGATGATTTCATTCCTCTACAGCTTACCTGGAGTGATGATCTGTTATCAGACAATCAGCTACCCACCCAGCTTGGTGTCAGCGATGTTGATATTAAAACCCCTGCACATCGTAACATGATGCCTTCTAAGATTTTGCAGTCTCCCTATGTGCATTCATTTGAATCAACTGATAAGGTCAAGGACAAAATATACGATCATATCTGTCGATTTACTCCATTTGATGATTGCCGAATCACATCTTAAGTATCACCGGGTTTAATGCAAGAGTTTTTATATTGGATTCAAAAGGAATTCCTTATCGCCAATAAGTAAGTTTTTATCAATGAAGTTTATTTATAAAATCATTTTTAAGTACTTTAATCTCGAATATAATTTTTTTATTATAGGTAACCTGATGATGATAAATATAGAGGCAAATCTGCTAAATTTGAGTTTGATTATATGGATTTTGTTGTCGCATTTCTAGTTGACAAGAAGTGATTTTATACCATGTCACATCCAATGAAATGTTGGACTTAACAGGTACGTTATGCATTTAAATTATTTAAATAATACAATTTATAGATTGTACATATTATTTAGGTATCTACTTACAAATTTATCTATACCGTATTCAATATATATTTATTTTTCAAAGTGTGCAGATTTCATATTGTGTTTTTTTATATATATAACAACATCTAGATGTAATTTTTTACTATTTACGGAAGAAGTCCAAATCAAGAGGATTGGATCAATACAGATACACTACGGTCAACTGCTTGTTTAGGTCATACATCAACATTGTATATAATAGGTATTATTGTGCTCCTGCTGATGAACCTCTGACTACACAACAACATATTGGCCGTGGTGTTGCTATAGATGGTTATGAAAGGTCTATAAAACATATCATTAATGAATTTTTGATACATGCTTCGTTACCTTGACATCTAGTTGATGAGGTTTATATTCCTGTTAATTGTGGCAAAAATTTTCATTGGGTGTTGAATGTGGTTGTTTTAAAGAAAATGTTAATACATGTGTATGACTCATCAGTTGGGTCAAGGAAAAAAGTGTCTTCTGAAGAGATTAATCAATTGTCTATAATGCTTCTAAACTATCTACAGGATAGCGACTTTTTTGATAAAACGGATAAAATTAATTGGTTATCATTGGAGGCGTACAAAGAAAAAGAAACAGGTGAACTGTTGGGTCCTCAACATTCATTTACAGTTGAATGTGCGCAAGAGATTATGCAACAACAAAACGATAGCCTGTAAGCATTTGTGAATCAATTTTTTCTAGTTTGATAAAATGTTAGTTTTAAAATTTCCTTTACATTCAAATCCTTTTTAATGTATCTTCATTTTTTCTAGTGATTGTGGACTGTTCGTAGCTACTTATGCAGAATATTTGAGCGACGAAATCAAAATTACATTTGTTGGTCTTCAGAGTGACTATCTTCGCAACAGATACGAAACATTGTTATGGAAGTATGACATGGACAAATTCAATGTTGGATATGCTAGTCATAGCGATGATCCAACAAGGCCAAAGGACGGGTTTTCTAAACAGGCAGAAGATGCATTGGTTGATGTTGATTAGTTTGTTTTATATTATTTTTGAACTATTATTGGAACGGAATATTTTGTATTTCATCTTCTATTTTTCGTTCAATATTACTAAGCATTTTCTAGTTTTAATAATTTATCTGCTATTAATTTTTTTTAACAATATAACTGTCAAGTTATTTATTTAATTATGACACAAAGTGACACATAATTATTTAGTTAATATTTATTAATTATTCCATAAATAACAATATATGATAATATACTATAATCAGATACGAAGTAACAATAGAATTATTACAAATAAGATTCTTATTTTAGTATAAAAAATAAAATAAGTATATCTTTATTAAATAATGCAAATTATTGTGTTCATCATATTTAGTATTGTTCAAGAGTTTGAATAATATACTTATATATATACATTTAGTTTAATTTATATATTTGTCAACTGTTTGAATTCAATTATTTTAGTTAATTAACAGTAGATACAATTAATTTTTGTAAAAGTTAGTTCTACAAAATAACATATGATACCATATAAAGTGTGCTCATAATATAATAGATAATATTTTTAAACGCTTGTTACTAGTTTATTTTATTACACGATACTAAATAATTTATATAAGTAATACATATAATATAAATGATGATACCATAATAAATTATTTTCAGTGTATATTTGATACTATTTTACACAATTATACTAGTTTATACAAAATAAATTACTCCAAAATATCGTACTTTCGTACAAATCAAAATGTATGATACTATATTACAATCAGATACACAAAACATTTAATATGACACGTGTTAGCAACATAAAAAATTCAATTTGTATAGCTTTATTAATTAATACAACATTATGAACACAATATATTTAGTATCCCGGTAAGAATAACATATCATATAATAAACTATAAATATTTGATATCAATTATTGTTTTGAATAGGATAACAAATTTTTGTTATCACATCCATTATACGTTTACCATTTTATGTAATTGATATTAAACAAGTTATAAATTTTTACAAATTTATAAATGTCTTTGCACGTAATATAATACAGTCAAAATTTAATATATTTAGTATCAAATCAGATTTTGAAGCTTAAATCATTCACATGTTGTTAATCACATCAAATAAAAAAAGTTCACAAATTATTATCAAATTAAAAATATCCATAAACATTTTACACTTCAAAGATACTAAGAAAATATAAATCGAGAATCTTTTGAAAAGAAGGTACATGTTCTTTTATTATGACCTTCTTGACCACAACGTCCACAACAATTCGTTTTTGTTGTTATCTTTTCATCTGGATTTTTCTTTATCTTTTTTCTTGGTCTCCAAGGCATCTTTTTGTATCTAGGTGGCAAGATCATTTCTTCCAAAACAGAATCCGGAGCTTTCCATTCTCTTTTGTCTGGCATTGGTTCTATTGAAATTGCATAAGTATTTGTTAATGCATCGTGTTTATAATAATTAGAGCAGTAGGGGTGTACATCTGTTATATTCTTCTTCTTCAAGACGGCTATTGCATGTGGACAAGATATCTCGTCAAGTTGAAATCTTCCACAAGAACAAGTTTTCCTCCCAAGACAAATAATGTATCTAATCCCACCTTCATACACTGAAAAACAAAACTCAGAAGACGCAACAACCTGCAATTTTAAAAAAAATAGGGCTAGTCAAAAAGTTTTTTTTTCATTTTTGTTTAACAATAAAATAATAAATACAAAATAATTATGTACCTTCATTTTTGCACTTTTTGATGCGTTTAAAATTAATATTTCTTCAAATCTTCTACCCAATGTTTCTTTTGTATAAGAAGTTATTTCTCTATTTTTGCAATTTTAAGAACCAAATAGAATTCTAACTTCCTCCAAAAAATCTATAATAGGTAGTTGTCGTGCATCAACAAGGCAACCATTGATACATTCAGCTATATTTGAAGTCATCATTCTCCCACGGTTCACTGTTGCATGAGATTTAGACCACTTTTCATACCCAGCATCTTGAAGATACTTTTTTACTCTTCCATCTATTTTATCCAATTTAGCCATAAATTTTTCAAAATCATCTTTTCTATAAGCCTTAGCAATTGAATAAAACAGATCACTTAGAATGATCTTGCTTCTCCTAAAGTTTGAACACACATTTTTCCAGAGGTGCTATATGCATGCAAAATGAGGAACAGTTGGATAAACAATACTCACACCTTTCTTTGTGCTTTCATTTTTGTCAGATACAACACACATTTTTTTCCTCTCACCAAATGCATTCTTAAATTGTTGAAAGAACCATGTCCATGAACAATCATTCTCCGTGTCAACAATTCCGTTCGCCAAAGGCGATATGCAACCTTAATATATAAACACAAAACAACATATACTAAATAACTACTTAATATTAAGAAAAATAATAAAATAAATTCATAAACAACATATCATACCTGCTCCATTGAGTGTACTAGCAGACACAAATGTACCCCTATAAGCTCCACTAAGATGTGACACATCAACAACAACAACTGGCCTACAGAACTCAAATCCTCTCATCATTGGCCTTTGTGATATGAAAAGATACACAAATTCATTGTATTCAAACTTATGCATCCTTATATATGAATTTGGATACACAGTTTCAAGCATATATATGTATCTTGGCATGTTTATGTATCCAACAGCAGGTTTACCTATTATGAGTTTCAATGCATGCTCTTTTATGTGCCATGCTTGTTGATAAGAAATCTCAACGCCATACATTTCCCTGATATTATCAATTATATCGCTAGGAGTATGTTTTCTTTTATGATTTCCTAATTTAGGCGCTGTCACACCACTAACAAACCCAACTGTGGCTTGTACCTTGCTTAATACCTCATCCCTTAATGGACATGTATGTTCACTATTAAAGTATCTCACTATGAATGTTTCTGAATTCTTCCTAACAAATGCTTTCAATTTCAACAACAATCATCTGAATGAAAAATTAATACGTAGCTGCAATAAAAAAAACATATATTGATTATTTACTATGGTTGATTGTTATAATAAATAAAAAAGAAAAAAAAATTAGAAAAAGATACTTTATTTCATTTTCACAATAGAAATGATACTTTATAATAAATATGGAACATCTTTATAACTTATTCTGTAAATCGATCCGAAATACTACATTTACTGATTTTACCATTTAAAATGTGAAAAACATCATTACGACCAAATCATATTACAAAAAAAATTACACTCAACATATAATATTAATGTATCATACTAAATATATTACAAACAAATTATATATTATTAAAAATATTAACATATTAATTGACAACATACCTTTTGTTATCAGATCTTTTAACTTTAAAGTTGAAACTATTCTTTACTTTGTAATTTTCCATTACCGCTTTCAGAGTTAAATTATCCTTATACATATGATTTTCTTCCACAACTGAATTATTGGTGTTTGATATATACTTATCAACATCCATTTCTGGTATGTAATATGCATCATCAATTGATGATTCAATAATATTTAGAGCCTTTGCGTCGTTTTTTTCACCCTCAACACACATGATGACACCTGTTGTTGCATCAAAATTTATTATCGCTTCAACACCTTTATCTGAAGTATCAACGCATAAAGGATAAGTTCCGAAATCAGCCTCATTTTTCTTATTTCTATATACAATTTTACACCCATATCAGTCCTAATACACAATGGAGACGAATTTCCTTCAACAACATATCTAATCTCTATATTTTTTTCGATTCGACAATACCCAGCTCAACTGCAATTGCTGAAATAAGATTCATGAACGAAATATTTTCACCAGTCACTATCCCATCACTTTTGTATCGCTCATACATAACATCACTTTTCCATATTCTAGAATGTCGCAACAAGATCAAAATATTCATCTTTGACAATTCAAAATCGGCGTTTCAGAGAATTTTTTTTCCGCAAAATCATTTTTTTTCTGATTCCAAATCTTAATTTTTTAATATTATGAAATTGAATAATGCAATAAATTAGTACGTTTTCTATGCAGATTTGACGGTAATATTGTTGTAAATTAACGCAAATCATGGGAAAGTTGTTATCTTTTTTTTTGTGTTGTAACAGTTATCATTAAAAAAATAATAATAATTAAAGTATCGACCATTTCTATTTACGTATCATTTTATTTTATAAACTATCCAGATTTTTAAAAAAGAACATATTTATGGTAAATATTGATATTATAGGGATAGAATGTAATTTGTCATTTACAGTATGTCATTTGCCTAATTTTTACTAATTATTTGTAAAGCCCAAATTAATTGTTTAGACCAAATGAACATGGATTTAATTCAAATTTCGTATGAATTTGATCCAATATAATTTATGTGTCTACAATTCAGTTTGAAAAAGTAAAATTAACATCCCACACACATTTAAGATGATAAATATCAAGTTATAATCATACTCTTTAAAAATAAACTACTTATAGCATATTATTATCAAGTTATAGCATACCAATTAATAATATATTAATTAAAAAATTAATTCGTATTTTTTAAGTAATAATTAATATGTTTAAATAATTACTTTCATTTATTCACTTACCTTTTATAAACCAAACTCTTTAAATTTTTACTGATTAATCAATTATCTTTTAAAGCTTTTAATATAAACAATAAATTGTTATTAATTAAATATTAATTAAACTTCACATTATATAGTTACCTTTTAAAAAAACAAAATCTAAATAATAGAGATTTGATTTTAATTAATTTCCTATTATACAGTTACCCAATAACTACCCATCCCTATCTCAACCAATAAATACTCATCTTCCCCCAATACACTCCATCTCTCCCCATCACGTGCGAAGATATTTTCATCTTCCCCAAAATCCCGCCCCAATCATCATCTCTTCCCAACATGCAATTATTTTTTGATCTTACCCAAATCCGGCCTCAGTCATCTTCCCTATTAGTGGTATTACAAACTAATGACAATGCTGCTTCTTAACAAGGTATTAGTGTTCATCAAGCAGCCAACTGATAGGGCTGAAAGAAAAAAGTAATGTCTCAAATACACACAAGATTATCTAATCAGTTTTACTATTACAGTTCAATCAACACTACGACTCAACTTGCTAACATAACCAAACTGCCAAAAAAAAGGGTATAGTAAAGGGCCTTATTGTTGATTTGGATTTTATATTCTGATTTTTGGTATGTCCCATTGTCATCTCTTCGAAGGAAGATTGAATCCCAAAATGATGCAAACAACATCTAGCTTTAAAAACATAGTTCACTGGATAGTACCCTACAAAACAAAATTTGAGAAAGGCTACTAGCAGCGAGTTGTTCTTCCTTCTTTATATGTCACGACCCAAATCGGGCCGCGACTGGCACCCACACTTATCCTACTATGTGAGCGAACCAACCAATCTAACCTCAATCGTTTACCAATAATAACAGAAAATAATGCGGAAGACTTAAACTCATTAATGAAAATCAATTAAATAACTTCTAAAAATTCAACAACATTTATTATCCCCAAAATCTGGAAGTCATCATCACAAGAACATGTATCCTCAAATTACTAATCTAAGAGTATCTAAGAAGCTAAAATACATAAAAAGCTAGTCCATGTCGGAACTTCAAGGCATCAAGACATGAAGAGGAAGATCCAGTCCAAGCTAGAAACATTAGCTCACCCTGAAATCCGGAGTAATGAAGACTGGCTAGAGTAGCGGTTGAGTTGAAGACGACGACACGTTTGCTGCACTCTACAAATAATCAAAAAGAAAACATACAAGTAGGGGTCAGTACAAACACAGGTACTGAGTAGATATCATCGGCCAACTCAAAATAGAAAACAGTATATATCAGTTAATATCATAAAATCAACTACAGTACTCAACAAGCGGCATTTACAATTACCATAACCCTTGGTCGCAACACCAAGCTCATCAATGAGGACTCACGCCTCCCCATCATACTCACTTGGGAATTAAGTTCATTAAATTGAGTATATTAACATATTTCAAGATTCATTCTCTTTACTAATCCTGGTGTCGGAACGTGACACCCGATCCATATATACTATCCTGGTACCGGAACGTGGCACCTGATCCATATTCTATCCTGGTGTCGGAACGTGACACTCCGATCCTCATATACTATCCTGGTGTCGGAACGTGACACTCCGATCCTCATATACTATCCTGGTACCGGAACGTGGCACCCGATCCCCTAATCTCACTACTTTCCTTCATCAAGCCTTCTTGTATACTAAGGCATCATCATTAACAAAGTAGATTAGGGTTTCTTTTTCAAGATTTAGGATTCAATAGCTTCATCATGCTTATTTTATCACAATTATATAATCACAACATGCAAACACATAATTAAGCATATAGAAGGGTTTACAACACTACCCAATACATATCATTCGCTATTAAGAGTTTACTACGAATAGTATAAAAACCATAATCTACCTCCACCGAAGAATTGTGATCAAGCAAGCTAATCCTCAAAATCTTTGCTTTCTTCTTCGTTTCTCCTCTCTCTCTCTCGATCGTTTCTCCCTCTCTTTCTGTTCTTTCTATTTTCTTATTCAAACCCTCTTTCTTTTACCCTAATTAGCATATAATTAAGTATAAAAGATGGCAATAGTAACCCACTAATTAACTCAAGGTTACCTCTTTTAACCCCAAGAAATTGAGTTATTAATGCTAAACCACTAACTTTATAATTAAAGCCGGAATAGTCCAAAACGCCCCTTAAATTACTTAACAGAAATCCGACCCAGTCTGGGATTACGCAGCCTGTGACGGGCCGTCGTGTCTGCGACGGTCCGTCTTGCTGCTTCCGTCAAAGAGTTCAGAGACTAGATTTTACTGAAGGATCTGTGACGGCCCGTCATGCCTGTGACGGCCCGTCCTGCCACTTCGTCACAAAGTTCAGAGAGTCGATTTCAGTACCCAATTTTTCAGAATTCTGAGTATTTTGGAACGAGACACCCTCGACGGTCCGTCGTGCCCATGACGGTCCGTCGTGGGTTCCGTCGTCTCAGCTAGTTTTTCCAGAAATAAAATTTGCTGCTCAAAATGACTAAACAAGTCGTTACAATAGATACCAATTTACCCATCGTTCGTCCCCGAACGATCACAAGAAGAAAAACAAGGGCGAACAGGAGTACCTGAATCTGCAAACAGATGTGGGTATCTTTCTTGCATGTCAGCCTCTTTCTCCCAAGTGGCTTCTTCAACGGGTCGATTCTTCTATTGAACTTTGATGGATGCAATCTCCCTTGATCTCAACTTGCGAATTTGTCTATCTAAAATAGCAACAGGCTCCTCCTCATAAGACAAATTTTCATCAAGCAGCACTGAATCCCAACGAATGATGTAGTTTCCATCCCCATGGTATCTTTTTAACATAGACACATGAAATACCGGATGCACTCCGGACAGCCCTAGAGGCAAGGCTAACTCATAAGCCACCTCCCCAACTCGCTTAAGTACTTCAAAGGGACCAATATACCTTGGTCTTAGCTTACCTCTTTTTCCAAACCACATTACCCCTTTCATGGGCGAAACCTTCAACAAGACTTGCTCACCCTCCATAAACTCCAAGTCTCTAACCTTTCGATCTGCATATTCCTTTTGCCTACTTTGCGCCGCCAAAATCTTTTCTTGAATAGATTTCACTTTCTCTAATGAATCCCTCAAAAGGTCAGTACCCCAAGGTCTAACCTCAAATGCATCAAACCAACCAATGGGAGACCTACATCTCCTCCCATACAATGCTTCAAATGGGGCCATATCAATACTTGAGTGATAGCTATTGTTGTAGGAGAACTCTGCTAAGGGTAAGAAGCTATCCCAATGACCACCAAATTCTATCACACATGCGCGAAGCATATCCTCCAGCACTTGAATCGTTCTCTCAGACTGACCATCGGTCTGAGGATGGAACGCAGTACTAAGGTCCAACCTAGTACCCAATTCCGCATGCAATGTTTTCCAAAACTTAGAAGTAAACTACGTACCTCTATCTGATATAATGGAGAGTGGAACCCCATGCAATCGCACCACTTCCGAGATGTAAAGTTTGGCTAACTTCTTTGTATTGTAAGTCACCTTGAACGGAATGAAGTGAGCAGACTTAGTTAACCTATCAACAATTACCCAAATGGAGTCATACTTACCCATTGTCTTGGGAAGACCAACTACGAAGTCCATTGCAATCCTTTCCCACTTCCATTCAGGAATGGGCATTCTCTGAAGTGTTCCTCCGGGCCTCTGGTGTTCATATTTTACTTGCTGACAATATGGACATTTGGCAACAAAATCAACAATGTCGCGCTTTATTCTACTCCACCAAAAGTGTTGCTTTACGTCACGGTACATCTTGGTTGCACCAGGATGTATAGAATATCCAGAACTATGAGCCTCTATAAGAATAGTATGGATTACATCATCAACACGGGGCACACATACCCTTCCCTTAATTCTCAAAACACCTTCCTCATCCATTATTGCTTCCATAGCCTCTCTTCGTAACACCATATCCCGAATTCGGCTTAGTTTCTCGTCATCAAACTGTTTTCCCTTGATCTTGTCAAGAAAAGAAGATCTCGCCTCCACACAAGCCAACAATCCTCCCTTTCGAAACCTTTTTGATGTTGATGCTATGGTGAAGTCATCTCGCTTCACTCCTTCCACCTCTATCACGAAGTCTACCACTTCTTGAAAGGCTTTTGCCGTAGCCGCTACCTGTAAGGCCGAAATCCGCAATTCTGACCTCAACGCCTTCACAAAACGGCGAATCCGCTCTTGTGGACTGAAACACAGTTGGGTGGCATACCTGGAGAGTGCACGAAACTTAGCCTCATAGGCAGAAACCGACATCATGCCTTA